GTCTAGCCCAGGGCAGTCTGTCTGGGCCCTCCTGTGCTCCCTGGGCTAGCCCAGGACAGTCTGTCTGGGCCCTCCTGTGCTCCCTGGGCTAGCCCAGGGCAGTCTGTCTGGGCCCTCCTGTGCTCCCTGGGCTAGCCCAGGACAGTCTGTCTGTCTGGGGTCTGGGCCAAGTGACTACTGCTGACCAGGCGTATGTGTCATTGGAGAGAGAAAGAGAAACAGAGTTAGAAAAAGAAAGAGAGAGACTTTGTCTGGGAAGAAGAAACTGTTGACTTCACCCTCACTGACTGAACTGGAGTAGTACTGTGTAAGATTAGGTATCAGGGTGGGGTAGAACTGGACTGGGGACTCCCTTTAGAAAATATAACCAGTTAGTTGGGTCATCTGGCCACTCCCTGTGTGTGTGTGTGTGTGTGTGTGTGTGTGTGTGTGTGTGTGGTGTGTGGTGTGTGGTGTGTGGTGTGTGGTGTGTGGTGTGTGGTGTGTGTGTGTGTGTGTGTGTGTGTGTGTGTGTGTGTGTGTGTGTGGCCGTCGGCATGGCTGACTAGACAGATGTGCATATTTTCTCAGACTGGAGGAGACCAGACTGTTTTACTGTAGGTCTGGATGATGACGCCCAGCCAGAGGCCTTTTGGATAAATCCTCTGGAAAATACTGACTTATTCACTTTTAATTTATGACGTGTTAGGTGGACTAGCTAGATGGTGCTTGTACTTTAGGCTAAAAAGGTATTAAAGCTAAAACGTTATGAAAAGTTGATCATTCTAACCATGTTTTGAGTACCCATCTGTTTTAGCTATACTGCAGTGAACCGCTGAAGAGGTCCCACGTGATTTCTGAGCTGTGGTTTCAGACAAGGCCATAAGCAGGTGTGCCTATGTGTCTCATGATCTTTTCAGTCAAACACACGTCCATTCAGTCATACAGATTAGGATAACTTCAAAGAGGAGCTGCTTCGCAACCGGTGTTCTTCTCCCATTCATGGTGCTTTATTTACCAGTGCAGCGGAATAATTCAATCCCACCAGTCACTGTGAAAGCAGATTTAGGAGAAACAAACACCCAAAATGGTGCCTCCCTGTCTCTTACTGTAACAAGCAGACAAAGATGAGACAGTCTGGGCTGTGGGTGTTGTAGTGCCTGACCAGTTCTGAGTCATGGTGTGGTAGTGATTGTCCTTAATATGAACTTTCAACCCATTGCTATAATAATATGGGAGTAGAGAAGCTATAATTACACCAAGCTTTTAATAACTGGTCCAGGGCCAGTTTTGTTGTTAGTCCCATTATGGTTAAGGTGAAGACTGAGTGAAGGACAGGCTGGTTCTAAATCAGTTGCTCATAGTTGAAAGTAACTATCAGAGTCCCAGCTTGGCACAAACACTGTCTCACATCTGCTCCTCGTTGAGTGGGGGAAGGATTCCTAACTGGATTTGAAGAGCTCTCCCAGTAAAGGCTAGCAGCTAGCGGACCACCACAGCATCATGTTTATCTCTTTTCTAAAACACACAGTCTCTCAGATTCCCGCCTGATCTATCTACACCTATCCTTCATCTCTGCTGCTCATGATCTCTCTCTCCCCCCCCCACCGAGGAAGTTTATAAACTTAACTTCAGAGAGGTGAAGAGTTGTCTCTTGTTGCTAACAAAGATGTGGGGATAATACACATTGGCATATCTACTGAGAGGTTGGAGTTCAAAGGTTGAAAACTGACTAGACTAACTCCATTCCACTGATAAACCTTGGCATATCTCCTAAATAGTACAGCCAGATGCCATCTAGGAAAGCACATCAACGTGACCGGTTGTTTTTGTGTTAGGAGAGCAACAGAGGAACTACAGGGGAATACAGTAGTCCCATCCATCTCAATCTTACTAACCTATTAGCCTTTTGTTCTGTAATCTAAGGGGGTGGGTGAATGAGAGTATTCTCACCTCACTCAAGAATGAGCACTTTTTAAACCTTTTATTTAGTTGTCTCAAATGCTAGCCTTTCTTCAAATGGACAGTTCAAAGTTCAAGGTTCCCTATATCTCCATATCAGCACTCAGACAACTCAGGGAAACGGATGTAATCAGAGCCTCTTGTCTACTAGTGTTGGAGCATATGTTTTCATTGTCTCAGTGACTTAACATGGCCTGATGCTCTGGCAGTGCAGCTGCTTTGTAACTTGAAGAGTGAGTGGAGATCGATTGTTGTAAAACAAATTCCTAACCTATGGCACATCCTAGTGGACACTGGACACAATTCTGGATGGAGATCCGTCTTGTTGCTTATTTCAATTTCTGTTCATCATGATATTAGCCTACTCTAACAGTTGACAGATTAATTAATCAAGCTAATCATAATAAAAGACAAAGGCAGTGAGCATGTCAACAATACCGTTCATTAACACACAATGCCAGTCTTACAGTATACAGAGCCACACTGTCATCTATACATACATTTCTGTGGAGGATATTTTAATTACAATAGTATTTGACTGACAGATTTAAACAGTTACACAAACATGGATCATAATAAATAGGTATTTGTAGCATTCTTAGTACCCAATACTGATTCATTAATATACTGTATCAAGTGTAGGTCAGTGAGGGCAGAATGTTAGATCCATTCTACTTTGATGTTATATTGCTTGATTGAAAAAGCATGTTTGAAATACCTGTGCAGACAGCTTTGACTGGTTTTGCCTTATCTGAACAGCCAGAGAAAGTGCCTTTGAAACAGGTGTATCATTCCATCTTTAAAGGCTGATCCAAAATCCCAAAATTGCACTTTTATTTGTTGAATTTTTTATAACTGGACATTCTTCTCATGCCTGTTCTCATCTCCTCCGTCTGTTTCATCTTAATGTTAAGACTGAGAAAAATGCTTTTAAACCATCATCTACATGGTCAGCCTATTTTAAGACTTAGCAGTAGCAGATCCCTTCTGAACTGGGGTCAGTTATTTTAACAAGCTTTTTAAAGAGGACATTTATCCTCGTTCCTTCATGTGAACAGCGAGGGCTCCAGCTATTTCTGCTCCTGAGTTTATTTATGGATGTGTTCTGAACGGTTAAGACGGTAATGGATTAGCCAGTGTTGTTTCCTCAGAAAACAGTTCCAAATAGATCCCTGTCATGGTAAAAAAGCTCTCGTATGCCGAAAGCGATGATCTAACAACCTTAACACTTGACACAGATATATTGTTTACTCAATAGTCCAACAGACATGCTGTCTCATCACAGATTTGGAAGAGAGGCTGAATGGGGGGGGCTGCAAGAGCTTATTGATGATACTGGCTTAAGATATTTGCTTTCGAGTGCATTCATTGCTTATAAAAACTTGACAGTTCACAAAATGCGTTAAACAGATGTATTGTCTGAGAGGATAGTTACTTGCGCTGTACTTTGGACTGGGGCATGATTACCTAAATTATTATCAGTGTTGTTTCAAAGTAATTTGTCAACGTATTGTGACGTGGAACCTATGTGGAAAATACATTAGTTTTGAAAAAAGTCAATGTAAACTGTTGTTTTGAGGGTGAAATTTCAACCACAGGATTGTCACCATGATAACCAAATTTCAACATAGACAAAATATGTTGAATTTGTAACTTTAAACTAATGTCAGATTTCAAATGTTACATCCACTATCAAAAAAACAAAAACAATAGGCTGGGTAGCACCTCCTACTGGAGCATTGATCATCTACAGCTACCCTTTGGTCTCCCATCCAAGGTTTTAACCAAGCCCTGCCCTGATTAGCTATGATATTTGTCACTGACTATTACCAATGTGCGATCGTGAGAATGATTATAGATATAGATTCACTGTTGCTATCGAAGTCATTCCAAAGGCTAGGTTTAACAGAGCAAATGAAATGTGACCATACTTTATTAATCAACAATGATGCTCTTTAGGCCTATATGGCATTTGCAAATTCATCAACAGCAATTATTTGAATTCAACCCAACTAACAATAGACAATACAATAGGTCTAGGGTTTCAAGCTCTGGTTGATTTCAAATGTATTGATATTTAGTGATATTGAATTGTGTTTGGTTGTCAACACAACCAAATATCAACATTTGAAGGAGATGTATATTTTTCTTGGATAGTTCCATCTGTGCCACTGACTTAGTCTGGCTTTAATTCCAGTTTGTCTACAAATAGAAAATGTATAACTTGGATTCACGTCTCCATCTCGACCAAAAATCTAAGTTGAAGAATAGCACAAAATCAAATCAAACTTTATTTAAAGTGCATTTAAAGTCTGATTTAGTCTTATTCTATAACTTCGATTTTTGGTTGAGATCGAGACGTGAATCCAACATAGCAATTATTAATTTGTAGACAAACTGGAAGTAAATTCAGACTAAGTCAATGGCTCAGATGGAACTATCAAAGCTGAATATAAATCTCCTTTAAATGTTGATATTTGGTTGTGATGTCAACAAAACACAATTCAATATTACTTTTGTAATACAGTATTTACATTTACATTTTAGTCATTTAGCAGACGCTCTTATCCAGAGCGACTTACAGTTAGTGAATACATTTTATTTATTTTTTTACTGGCCCCCCGTGGGAATCGAACCCACAACCCTGGCGTTGCAAACGCCATGCTCTATCAACTGAGCTACATCCCTGCCGGCCATTCCCTCCCCTACCCTGGACGACGCTGGGCCAATTGTGCGCCGCCCATGAGTCTCCCGGTCGCGGCCGGCTGCGACAGAGCCTGGATTCGAACCAGGATCTAGTGGCACAGTTAGCACTGCGATGCAGTGCCTTAGACCACTGCGCCACTAAGGCTATCTTAAAAATGAATGTAACATCCAAACAAAACAAAAAAAGTAACACATACACGACCATTTTGAGGTTACTGTAATCATATAAAGCGTGCATGTGCAAGATAGCAATGCATAGGTCATCGCAGGTCTGTGGAGATCTTCACAATTGCTGTAATAATCTGCACAGAATCTCAAACAGCATTGATCTCTTGCACCCATGGTACTTTTAATGTAATCTCAACTGCAATCCAGGTCATTTGGTTCTGCTATTAGATTAAGCACAGTGATATATCAATATCTGACATTGTATTCTCATTTGAGCTTTGCTGTGCTTTTAAATGGTTGAAAGCGCAGTGATAAACATTTGGGTGACAACTAAACCAAAAATTAACATTGTTTTTCCATTGGAATTTAGATGGTTGAAAGCAGTGATAAAACATTAGAAATTCAACTAACTTTTGGCTGTCTTTTTGAGTGGGTTAATATAGGTTGTAATCTCAACCAAATATTACCCAATTATCCACACTGAAATTAGGTAGTGTGCCCAGTGGGGTGAGATTAAATAGGTCATAATCTTTTATAAACACACTTTGTGATTTAATGCACATTGCCTTACATAGACTTCATGTTGATAATAACAGACATATTCCTCTGTTCCCATTATTAAGATGGATTATGTCAAACAACAACAGTACCAATACAGTGACCTAAGAGACATCGTGTAACTCTGAGGAATCCATACATCACCCTCATCCCACACCCCAAAAACAGACAATGTATTCAGGTCTGGGACGTCTCAGCTATAGCGGATGCAACAGATCAGAGACGCTAACAGTAAAAAAGCAGGATAGTTTTCCATGGTGCTTCTCTGTTGCCTGGATTCCACAACGTCCGACTCAAACACATCCAGTTGTCAGGTGTGGTTTCTGTTCCGATGTCAGGGAGGAATCTGGGATACACAGTGTCATCTGGAGAGTGTCAACAGGAACGCTGCTCATCCTCCTGCTGCAACACCGTTTCTCATTCCTGAGGATGTATCGGAGATCTGGGATGTGTTGCTAATGGTTGTGTTGCTGCCGCATTGTCATGGCGACTAAGATGCTGGTGTAGTGTCCACAGCTGGTGTTGCAGAGTGGACAGGATAAGCTGCCAAAATCACTTCCTCTCCTCCATTTCTTTTCTCCTCTCCCCCTCTTCCTCGTTTTCCCTGAGGGTCTCCATTTGTCTTTTATGTAGGTGTACAGGATATGGAAGTTCTAAGAATAAAATGTATCTGAAAAGTCCCCATTAAAACCTCCTATGCTTCTGTTATTTAAATATGTATCGAATGTGTTGATATGGCACACATTCTGAAGACATCAAAGAGAAAAGAGCTCTGCTTAAAAATACTGTTGGTTTGTACATTTGGAAACCTGTGCTTTGCTGTATGCATATTATTTTTATGCATCTAATCTAGTGGTATCTAAGGTTCAGACTGTAGCATTTTGATAATTGTGATGTTTGATTGAAAGGTTTCAGTCTCTGAGCTTCCTTCCTTCTCCTTAGTAAGATAATGGTGTCAGGGTCAGTGGTAACAGAGGAAGCTAATGATTTGCTTTGGTATGTCCAGTTGAACTACGACCTCCAGAGCTCTGATACCCAACATCGTCCTCAGGGCCACTCTGCTCAGCTGCTGCAGACTCAATGGAGTACCTACAGGCAGACAATCACAAGGGTTTATGGGAGATGTAGGCTCTATCCACAACATATAGAACACAGAAATAGAGTATTAAAGTGTCAATACACAGTCAGAGATATGTGTCCTCTTTAGTATCTTTAAAGACTGGAGCTTCTGAGCAGTGATTTTATGTTGTAGTTTGCTTGCATAACTCAACAAAACATGTGTTGAGCAAATGTTTAAAGCTGTATGTCACAATGTCCTTGCACTTAATAAAATAACATTTTATTTTTTCCTCCCAAGAGGTGTCTGTGTCTGATGCCTAGGATACTGTTGCTGTGTGGCTTCTCACACAGACCTGGTCGCACATTCCACGAGTGGCTCTGTGGCAGAGGAATCTGTCTGGGTTTGGGTCTCATCGTCAGTTACCGACCCGTAGCTTAGCTGAATGTTATAGACCAGTAATAATTGATGAGCCCCAGGGAACATGAGTAGGAGAGACATTAACTTGAGGGACAGGACAGATGGACTTAGCCTATGTTAAAAATACTGGAGAAATATCTTTCTGACGTAAGACTGAGTATCGTCAGGGGTTAAAGTAAGCTGGTACGGTACGGTATTGAGTCCCAAATAAAGAAATAGTGGGGATACGCCGTACCGGTAAAACATGAGCCTATCACAATAATTAAAACAAAATGACACGAAAACTGTAGGCTTTTACAACATTTTTATCATGACCACATCAGCCGCATGAAAAATTAGCGAATGGACTTGAAAATGGGTGGCTCCAAAATGCGGTGTGGTTCGACGAGATCACTGACATTTTTTCCAAGGTAGAGATGACTGGCCAAGACTTGCGCGCGGACCTCAATTCAGGCTACAAGTAGACGCATCAATTCAGGCTACAAGTGTAGGCACAATGACAATCGTAGAATGTCATTACACTTTTTGGTGTTTTAACAGATGTTTCTTTCCATTCATAAAATGGGGGGTGCACAGATCACTGTTTGGGTGCTGGAATTAATTTGTGAGCGGACAAACGTGCGTGAGTGTAGCCTACATGAGCCTTTTATGGTTTGACATCAGATGAAAACATCATGACTGGTTGTGTTTATGCCACATTAAAAGGTAATACATTTTAGTTAAGTTAAATGACAACTCTTTACTACTAGAACCACAGAGATCCTATTAAATTAATAGGGATTATACTGTATATGTCAATCTATAATTAAAAAGAAAATGTGCACGTGCATACACACATAGGAGGTCCCATACCAGGAAGTAATTGAATCTACCTTCACCCAAGTATTGTGTACCAATTAAGAAGTGTTCAAACAGCTGTTTTTGATGGGTTCAACATGATCAACATCATGTTTTTATTTTATTTTCATTATTTACTTTTCCACTATCTGTTACTTTTTTATCCTAAAAAATGAGCAATGGGCACCACCTTCTGGTGACACTGTGACATTGCTTAGAAATCCACAAAAACATATGGGTGCAGTACGTGTCTATTGCTTATAACTGGTAACTATAGTATAAAAACCTCTCTCACACTGTGACTTACTTTCATAAAACTCTAAGCAGAGTGCAGCGGGAGAGCCGGGTTCGATGTAGTCAATGGGCTTCTTATCGTTTTTGTCTTTGGCGTAGATGTTCGCCCCAAACTCCACCAGCAGGTCGATCATGTCTACACTCTTCACTTTAGCAGCATGGTGCAGGGCCGTCTTGTGCAGCCGAGCATAATTCACTTTGGCACCTGAGGAAGCAAATGACACACAAAAGAGGTTATTACTAAAGGTGCACTCCAGAGTTGGGACCTCAAACCCAGGGATTTATTCTCTATTCAGGTTTATCGTCATTGTGATCTTCTTCTTCACAATCAGATAATTTGTTGTTAGATAATGCTATTCTCTAGACTATTCTCTAGTGCTGACCTGCGTTGAGTAGCGCCTTGACACAGTCTGTGTGTTCGTTGGCACATGCCACATGTAGTGGGGTCCCATAGTACAGGTCATATGCCTCCAGACTGGCACCTTTAGCGATCATGATCTTCACAACGTCAGCATTACCTGAGACACAAGAACAGACTGTCACCCGTTCTCAAACAATCTTGATGCACACTCATTCTACACCTGTCACACACTTACCCCCCATGCAGGCTTCGTGTAGGGGTGAGGTGGTCCGGGAAGAGAGGGTGGGGTTCACCTTGGCCCCATGCTCCAGCAGCATCCTCACACAGTCAAAGCTCCCGACCGAGCAGGCCTCACACAGAGGGGTGCTACCGTCCGTGTTACGGGCATCCACCTACAGAACAACACAGCCATTATACATATCCTAACTACCTGTAAAGAACAAATTACTTTCTCTTGTCTCTATCTTTAACCTGTGTTGAGTCTGGGTCACACCTTTCTCCTGCGATATGACTAGAGTGTGGGTTGACAATCCTGTATTCTTCTTAGTCATATGGCTATCCTGCCTCATGTATTGCCGATATTTCTCTTATCTCTCTCTCCCTCAACTTAGTGACAGTCTCACCTGTGCTCCAGCATCCAGTAGCAGCCTGACACACTGGGTCTGCCCCATTTCACATGCCTCATGGAGGGGGGTGATGGAGTCCACAGCCACTATGTTGACAGAGGCTCCGCTCTGGATGAGCTGCTGCAGCTGGGCAACATGTCGGTCCTCTCCGACCAGCAGCCTGGGGCAAGACACACAGTCAACAGCCAGAGAGCAAATAGCAAGATAATACCTATTGCAACATAATCAGCCGGCGCTAGGTGAGTGCATGCTAGATAGTCTCTGGCATTGACATCACATTTTGCCATCGTAAACCTTTACATGACAATCTATATAGACTAAAACACAACATGGCACATATGTAGCTGGTTTACGTTGCTGTTATATAATGAACACATGCTTGCTAGCTAACGTTAATTACCTAGCTATGGCATGCAGTAACCAAATGAATGCTAGCTAGCGTACAATTTCAAGGAGCCGAAATGCTTTCATACGCACCTATGTCTCCAAAGAAGTATGGTCTGGCAGTTTCAACCTCCATAATTTGGTCAAATCACGTTTTATGTTGAAAAACTGTAAATTATGTCCCACGAGAAGTAAACACACTTGAACTGTGTTTACATGCGGCACTGACATATCACGTGACTGGTTTTGACATGAACTTTGCGTGCGTTTGAGGGCATGCTGGGAGTTGTAGTGCAAATGTTTTGTCAAAATATTAATATTACTGCAAAAGTAGAGGACTGAAGTTGTTTGGCTTTATTTTCCCTAACCATACTAAAACAAGGGTTCATCTGTATAGCATATTATAACATAATTGTAGCAGGCCTTCTTGAAATGTATTGTACAATTTATTGTTACTGCTTATAACACAGTAATACATCGCATCATATTGTAGGTGTGTCCCACAGTAAGCAAAACATATGCAGAAGAAGATGAGATGTCCCAGCTTAGTATTCACGCTTTGTCCTTTTTCTGATATTCCTTTGGGAATCCATCCATGATTCAGTTCATAATAAGGCAGAGAATGTAGCTGATGGTACGTTGAGATTTGTTCAGTTGACCTACAACCTCCAGAGCTCTGGTACCCAGCAACATCCTCAGAGCCACTCTGCTATGTTGCTGCAGACTCAGAGGAGTACCTGGAGATAATCACACGCACAATGACTCTAACGAAAGTCACATACAGGGATGGAATCCCAAAAGGAAAATACTATTGCCTCAAGACTTACTTTGATAATACTGTAAGCATTGTTCAGAGGGAGAGCCAGGCTTGGTGTAGTCTATGGGCTTTTTGTTGTCGTTGTCTGTGACATACACATTGCCTCCAAAGTCCACCAGTAACTCAATCATGTCCACCATCTCTACTCTGGCAGCATGGTGGAGAGCCGTCTCATGGAACTTAGCTGCATTCACCTTGGCACCTGGACAGAAAACACATTCTGTTTACAGTCGATATTACATTTTCTCTGGAAAATGTGGCTTAGTGGCAGATTTGTGAATGAAATTCCAGTGTCCGCTCAGTATAACAAATACTTGTATGTAAAACGTATTCATAAACACTGTATAGTTAGTCATATGAATACAGCAGTCGCCTGAGAGATTTGTTTCCCTCTTCGTCCCCATCCTCACCTGCTTTGAGCAGCACCCTGGCACAGTCCACATGCTCCTTGGCACAGGCAGCATGTAGCGGGGTACCGAACTGGAGGTCAAAGGCCTCTAGCAAGGCTCCATGCGCTATCATTAGCCTCGCTATATCTGCATTACCTAAAGCATATAGACAGATACGAAACGGTTTCATTAGATATGAAGTACTCACACACATCTATACACATACTGTGAATCCTCCTCACAACCCACCCCTTCTCTTGCACTCCTACCTCACTCGCCCCTTATCGCCTCATCTTAGCTCTTCCTCCAGTCCTCTCAAGTCCTCTTACCTCTCCTTCTAAAAACCTATTCCACCAGTCTTCCCTCTCTTGCCCTGTTTTTTCCCTCCTCCAGTCCACCTGACCCTGTCTTAACACTATTTCCCCAGTCATATAACCCCTCATCATGCCCCAGTCTTACCCTTTATGCAGGCCTCCTGCAGGGGAGAGGCAGTGAGTGCTGTGAGGGAGGGGTTGACTTTGGCTCCATGTTCCAGCAGCATCTTTGCACACTCCAGGCTCCCCGCAGCACAGGCGTTACAGAGAGGAGTGCTGCCATGGATGGTCCTCACGTCCACCTGGGGGAGAGGGGGTATAGAGGAAGGAATGGAGAGATAGATGGAGGGGACCACTACTGCTACACATGCTGTAGGTGTATTGGTGTCTCCTGCTACCCAATATGAAATGTGTCATTATCGTTCTACAGCTCTATATATTTAGCCCTAGCTGTCTCACCTGAGCCCCTGCATCTAGTAGAAGTCGGGCACAGTTTGGATGTCCCTGGATGTAAGCGTCATGAAGCGGAGTGATGTTGTCTACTGTCACCATGTTTACAGCTGCTCCATCCTCAACCAGCTGTTTCACTTGAAGGGCCCTGCCTAAGGACGCGGCCTCATGCAACGCGGTTCGGTCTGCCCAAAACCCTAGTAGGAAGGGGAGAGGCTCTGGCTCAAACGCGACCTGTTGCGTATTTAGGCATTGGTTGCGCAATTATGCGTTCATCCAATGAACATTGTTGGGCAATGAATAAAGGCAAACATATTTACATTTACCACTTTACCGTCCATAATTGGAATGTATGTAGGTCAGATTGAAAAGATGATAACCACAGTTTCCCCAAATCGAAGACTCACCAATATCTCCAAAGTTCGAACGCCGTGAAGCTGTCATTTCCATTATTGCAGGATTTTCCATTGATAAATATTAGCGTGACAGATAACAAAATCAACATGAGTGCACTGGGTTTATTTATAGGAACAGCGTCCATGTGACGATATATGTTATGATAGGGACAGGGAAGCAGCAGAGGCTTCTGGGAGTTGTAGTTCTAAGCTTGTGAATTACTTAGGACTTTGAAGTATGTATTTACCTACCATGTTGTAAGAGCTTTTTGATTTTGTGGACATGCCATGTTAACAGTGCATTTTACCATTACACATTAAAACGGTTACAAATATGCAGCCATATGAATATGATACCAACCAGCCAATACAGCAGTCCATCAAATCCAGAGTAATCTTTGCACTTCATTAAAGGATGGTCTTTGTCACACAAATCAGACTGTTCTCATCTATGTTTTTGGTCCTGCATCAATGAATAACTCAAAGGTCCTCTTCAGTGCAAAGTTCATAGATGCTTCAGCAGACAGTTTAGGTTGATGATATCATAAAATAGTATTAAAGAGGAAGTTTCAAAGGCAAAGCTCCTGATACTCAAATGACCACATAAAAGCCCATCAGACAGCAATATTCTCATCAACTCACTACTGAATAAGGACAACAATTACTTTTGTTTTTTCACAAGTTAATTTTTACTTTGCAGTACAGAAATCATTTGAGCACCATCTTTTTGTAATTTTTTTTTTTGTATATTGATGACATTTAAACAGGGCCCTTGTCATATCAATACTGCCATAGTAGACATTTGGTCCTTTTAAAGCAATTAGTCAACTTTAACACAAATCCCCAACCTGCTTCAGTCTGCTCGGGTCTGTTCATTTTTAATAGTAAAGGAAAGAATAGTCTATGACATTATGGTTACTCAAGCTGCTTCAAACAGGTCCAGGTAGTTTGCCTTCTTGCTGGACTATACTTGCTCGTTCAGTGGCTTGGCCTAGGTACAGTAAGATGCCTTGCCCAGGGCTGGCTACTAGAGGCTGGAAATGAGCCACTAGGACAAGGGGGCTGATAAATGAAACAACAAGGCCACCCCAATCACAATCGATGGGGTATATATATTAGCTGGTCACGGAAACAATTAAAAGCTTCCTCTTTCTCCCTCACATGGTTATTGGTGGCCAAATGAAGCTTTGCTGGCCAAACCCTTTTTTTGTTACGGCCTGTTAGGAATAGTGCTTCATTATAACCGGAACAAGCCAAGCCACTCACTTACCTCCCTCACAACAACGAAAACACCTGACAAGAAAAATACAACTGATCTGATCACAAATCATGATTCACGTCCCCAAAACACTTATGCTTTTACATGGTTGTGTTATTTTCGGTAGTTGAACAAAATAGATTTGACCCTCCCACACTTAAAATACTACACTGTGGTACTGTTTTCTTTTGATTGATCAATTGATTTGGCATCTTTGGACTAAACACCCTCACCCAGGAGAGTAAATTATCAGTTAGTTACATTATGAAGAATGAAGGGTGTATGTATACCAATGTTCAGTGCAACAACTGTCTGAATGTGATTATAAAAAGCATAACTCCCATCTGGCCCCCTTTTCCAGCAATGCTATATTATAACTTTATATATATTGTGAACTTCCGTAATGGGCAAAACATTTACTTGGATCATCAGCCAGCCCATTTATCTATATTTTTGTACGGTTTTCCTTATTTTTTTTAGATTTCAGCTGTCAACGGAAAACATCTGATATTCACGAGTGTTGCAGACTCGCTTGTTTCTCTACTGGTCAGCTGCGTCGCCGAAGATGTCGTTTTTCTTGCGCTCCATCTCGGCAAAGTCAAATTCTGTTCCCGTCATCCGCTTGTAGATGTCCTTGATGTCATCGCAGGTGGTCTCGAAGTGGGTGGTAGCGTCGTAGGTACGGGACATGAAGATCTACGCCAACAAAAAGAAAACGATGGTTAAACACAGGCAAACAAGAAAAGCAATAATTGTATTTTTAACAACACAAGGTCACTGGATTGACTGGGGTAAGCAGCAAAAACCAGAAGTAATGGACCCACCTGGCTTTCAGCACCCATGTCAGTTGGTGCGTACTGGTCACTGATGCTCACAAACCTGCAGAGAGAAATGACAAAGTCACATCAACATGACCGTAGTTAAGACTAGTGGGAGACATCCAACATCAACAGTATAGCGATGAGGCTCGTACTTCTGCTCGACAGGCTCCAGCAGGTCCATGGCTGGTTTGACCTCCATCTCAGGGTTGTCCGTCTCCACCGTGGTGCTGACGATGGCCACATACTTCCCCTGTGCTGCCACATTATGAGTATAGGAGATCATGCACACGTAGATATCTGCAAAAAAAAAGAGATCAGCAAATTCAATATCTCACTCTTTGTCCGAGATGGGTGTGATTTGGGGCAGTGATACAGTTAGGTCCATGGCACCCTTCAAAGATTAATTTGATTCACTATCATCTCACCCTCAGCGGGATCAGAATAACTAGAAAAAAACAGTTTTCAGGGATACAGTAGCTTCAACCTAGCTTCCTTTTCCCCTTAAAACCGGATATGGGGTCCCCGCTCAGGCGTTTCTTTTATGCCTGCTACGTGATCTTACTATCATCTTAGTCTTATGTAGAGTACTTCAATTGGGTAGTTGAGTGTGAAGATGGTCCCTCATGTTCGATTTATAAAATCACATGTATTCTTTCCATAGCGGCCTTGCGTGGTGACGTCACTTCCTGCAGCGGGGCTCACCATGCTTCCTGTTGACCTGGTTCTGGGGGATGATGATCTGGCAGGAGTTGGCGTCGCTGGTGTTCTTGATGGGGTGGTTCATGATGCAGATAACCCGGATCACCTGACCCACCTTGGTGGTGCGGTCCATTAGATAGCTGGGATCGCAGATCAGCTGCTTGCAGCGGGCGATCTGAGGGGGGGAGAGGTTAAGTATTAGCCTTAAGATTATGCTTTGTTTACACATGCCTTCCTTTAGTCCTCAGAGTATGGCCTCTATATAAGCTGGGGAGAAATAACAAGATTCTTACCTCTCCCTCAGACTTGACTCCCACTACTTTTCCATCCTCCATGACGATCTCCTCAATGGGCTTGTTCAGCATGTAGGTTCCTCCATAGATAGCACTTAGTCTACGGGAGGGAGAGAACGAGAGGAAGAGATTCTGTAAAGCATGTTCAATTCTCTTAATGTCCATTTTAACTACAAGCACACGGTTCAGAATTCTATTGTATAATTTCATGGACTAGCACCCTTTTATATGAATTGAAAAGACCCATCTAAATTCTAACAATCCAACAACAAAACAAGAAGTAATCATTGGGCATACTGGTGAACATTGTATTTGTTTGGATTCAAATGAGCCAAACTTTTTTTTGCATAGTCAATGTCAACAAGCCAAAACAAGGAATGAAACAAAAAGGCAGCTAGATGGAAAATGATAAAGAGGTTAGAGATCAGAGTTGAGGTGAGCTTTACCTGGCGAACCCTTGGGGCAGCTCCCCCAGGCCGTAGAGGGGGTAGAGGTACGGACTCTTGCCGTATCTGGCCAGAGACTCACTGTACAGCTTGATCCTGTTTAGCGAGTCCATGCAAGGCAGGTCCAGGTACCTGAGAGAGAAGGGAAAGACAAGTATGAATCCAGTGCTTTCTTTGAATATACAACCATGTTTCTTGAAAGACTGGAAAATACAATGACTATCTTTGACACCCTGTGCTTGTGAGGCTGCCATGTCATCTAAGAGTATCATAACGGTGGAATTCCAGAATATTGCTATATCCTAATCCAGGCATTGTGAAATCTGATAATCAATGTAGTGCAACTGCAAACAAAACGACCTGGAACTCATCATTTTTAGTTGACCCCAAAATGGCCAAACACCTTCCATCTCTAGCTCAGCCAATAAGATGATGCAGGTGACTCACTCGTCTGTCCGGTAGAGGGCGAGTGAGTGTCCTGTGAAGTCGATGACGTCCTGGCCCAGGTCAAACTTCTTGAACACGTCCCTCATCGTCGTCTTGTTGGGGTCCACGCCCTCCATGGTCTTGGGGTCGTTTTCGTCGAAGTTAGCCACAAAAACCAGGAACTTCCTGAAGCGCCGTTTCTCAAACAGCCCCATCAGACCTGTAGGGGAGAGAGTTGTGCTATTCAGGGGTAGCTAATTATCTACATGATTGAGAGCTGAAAAGCAAGACAATACAGAAACAGTAAGAAGACATTTGGGTTACACTTGTGAAGACAGTAAGACATTTTGACATGTCATCAATTCACTGTTTTAGACTGCTGTAAGCTGAATGGATATTAGCCTTTATTAAAAGTTAACTCTGCATTCAGTAAGCCTGAGCTTATCGGACATAAAAACCCAACCTCTCCTCTATTTCCCATAGTCCCCCTGTACCACTCACTGGATGCCAGGGCCTCGGTCTCGGTGGAGGGCACTTTGTAGATGCTGCCCTTCTTGTAGACGAAGCTGCCTTCGATCACCTTGAAGTCCAGGTAGCGCGTCACCTGTGTAATCAGCAGCATGCGGACCAACTGACCTGCACAGGTGAGACAGATCCACAAATCAGTGTTACCTTTCCCAGACAGGTTAGGAGAATACAATTCAATTCAAATCCCTTTTACATATGCAGCTTCATTAGGCTTCAAATCGAAAGCTCTCTCTGTTGCCTCATCCTCTGTCAACCACATCCAATCATTGCTAGGCAACAGGATCAGTCGCACTATCAAATATGACCACAAACACTGAACATTCCAGAATCACATTTTTGGTATTCATCCCTTCTTTGCCCCTGAGACCAAGGATGAAGTGTTATAACTAAGGCCCAGAGTTTTTCCTTGTCTGGTGACATGGTCTGGAAAACTCCTGGCCCTAGTTAATATAATACATAAGAAGTGCTGATTAGTGTTTACCATTGGCCATGAGGAACTTAGGGATGAGGTCCACATTCCAGTCCCGGCCTTTTCCCATGGACTCCGGTGGGGCGCCTGGGAGACTGAAGCGCTTATACAGCTAAAAGAGAGAATCATTTGCCATTTTGTTGAAGCAGCAATTTATCCACGAGGAATACAACAGAGTGCATATATAAGCAGCAACTGACTATATTGATCATGTGTTGTCAGCCCTTTTTTAAGGATATTAAGATTAGTATGACTAGGTTCTTTGTTCTCTTTCTCATGCCTCGTCATTCAGATTCATACGGTTACAAACATTTCTGGGAAATGGGTGTGTAGGCATCCTGCCTGTTAGGTTGTGTAAGAGAATGTTGCAGTCTTTGTTTACGTCTTGTAGGCCCTGTCGAGGTTAGTCTTAGAGGTCAGCGCCTCAGAGGTCAAGCTGTAGAGGTCAGAGGTTGACTTACATCCTCCAGGGGAGTGATGGAGGCACTCTCTGCCCCGTAGTAGGAGTTCCGGTCCATGTGCAGGACCTTCTTCCCCTTCACCGACATGATTCCTGACAGGATGCATTCCTATTGGACGACAGACAGGAAGGAGAGGGGTTTGAGCGTCACAAATCACTTAAACCTGGATAGTGGCCAATATTGCACAGGTCAAACATTTGGAATGATAATGAAATTCTAGATATTGATTTTCATGTT